ATGAGATGTCTATAAAAAGCTATGAAGAATATTCCTCGAAACTGGAGCAGATAGAAGGTCTTGTTGATTTAGGATCTTCGGGCAGAAAAGCAGAAAGAACCAAATGTGTCTTTTGCCTTGATAGTCTTGTAACGGTGCACTCCGATTGCACCGTTCCGAATTCCCGGCAACAACATCGCCGGAAGCTGCCGCCCGGTAGAACACCCGCCGGGCAGAGGCAGGGGCGCGGTGCGCCCACATTTTTAATACTTATTAAAAACCGGGGCCGTTGTAAATCCAAAACGGCCGAGAATTGCCGAGCGAAGCCGACGCGGCCCGACCGACCGACCGGCGAAAACCCGCGCTCGGCGCAAAATCCGAATCCCTCCGAACAGGCCCGACCGTACCGTACCGCAATTAACCCGTTCGGAAGGGGTAAACCGCCGCGCGCCGACGCGGGTAATTAGCCGGTATAAAAAGGCCGTGTTTCGGCTAATAGACACATTCTCCTGTTCCGCTCTAAGCTGTACGCTCAAGAGAATTTACCAGATACCTGAAAACCGGCACTACCGCCCCGATCAATTAGGTTGAGCGTGCTCAGCCTAAGCCGAGAGTTCTCGTTATCGCGCGGGGTACTGCCTCCATCCGCTCCTCCACATCCCGGCTGGCAAAACCCACGGAAGGTGGAGTTCAGAGCCGCCCCGATCGAGAGTTCTCGAGGCCAGCTGTTCTCACACGCGATTCCAACTTATTCGCGCGATATTTTAATTCGCGGAGACCGCATATTATTTCGCGGAAAGAACTTGTTTCTCGGAATCCACTGGCTTTTTCTTCGAACACGGGATTCCCGGAACGACGGGATTCCCCGTGCAAGAAACGCGACAAAAACACCGTCACAACAACACGAGGTCTTCGACCGATACCGAGCGCATATCCGCAGGCGTCAAAACAACGTTTTATACACGCGTATTATACCAGCGAATTATCGAACATACGCGCTACGATTATATCGGCGCATTCTGACTTGCATTCTGCACGCGTAATCAAACAATTTATAAACTCGAACACGCTCGCAGTTATAATCGCAGCGAGATACACACACGACTTGTATACACGCCTTAATTCGAATAAATACTTTCTTTTCTTTTACATCACACATTCGCTCACCATTCATTACCCCGAATCCGACGAGTTTATCCGCAATCGAATCTCCGGAAAACGGAACGTTACATTGGCGCCCGAACAGGGACCGTTTGCGTGAGCATTCGACAGGTGTAAAAGCGAGTTGTACGAATATTTCAGTATGAAGTCGTGGTTGTATGCGCTCCCGAAGGAGCAACTGGCCGTGCTAGCCGCAGGTTACGGCATAGAGAGCACGGGCACTCTCGATGAAATTCGCCGACGCATGCGGGAGTACGCGGACGCGAATCCGGATGATTTTACGACCGATCTTCATGACCATGGGGCACCTTCTTTTGCATACCCCCAGGTCATCGTATCGGCCCCGCCTCCTATCGTCCGCGACGCGCCTGTCGACGGGGCAGCGCCGGCCTTGCCCGATAATCGGGTAATCAACCAGCTGCGGAAGAGCGGTTGTCACTTCGACGGCCGTGACCCCGCCGCGTTCTTAGAAACCCTGGCCGAGCTCCGCGATAACTATCAGATCACCGCGGAGCAAATTCTGCGCGGTTTATCGGAGTTGCTACGGGGGGATGCCCTTTTATGGTATCGTAACCATCGAGGCAGCTGGCTCACGTGGCAGGACTTTGAGGCCGCGTTCCGACTGCAGTTCCTGCCCCATCGTTATATAGCTTCCTTGCGTCGCGAAATTGAGAATAAGCACCAGGGGGCCCACGAGACGTTCGCACAGTACTCCACGGTGATGATGACGCTGATGCGCCGTTTGAGCGGTTTCTCTCCGTTTGAGCAGCTCGAATACTTGTACAGCCACATGCACCCAGAGTATAAATTTTATATCCGGAGCGCGGATTTCGGTAGCATCGCCGAGCTACAGGCGCGAGCCCGCGAGCATGAGGATTTGGTGAAAGAACGGCAGGAGGCCGCGAAGAGGGAAAAGGCCGAAGTAAAGCCCGTGGTGGCCGCCGCGTATAGCAAAACCGAGTGCTGCTGGCGGTGCAAACAACGTGGGCATACCCGCCGCCAGTGCAAGCGGCCAGCGAAGAAATTCTGTTCCCAGTGCGGACGGGACGGGGTGCTCACTTCGCAATGCCATCCACCGGCGGGAAAAGGCAACGGGGCGGGAGGAACACAGGTCGACGCCACTCCCAGCCCCGCATAAGTTTCACGCCGCGACCGCATATACGGGTTACGATCAGGAACCTGACGTGCGACGCCCTGATCGATACCGGATCCGAAACGTCGCTCATCAACGACGAAATCGCCGAGACCCTCCAACAACGGGGTTTCAGGGTCACCTCCGAAGAGAGCCAGATCCAGCTGGCCGATGACCAGGAAGCCACCACCGCGGGGGCAATCACCTTGCCAGTCAAGGTGTCGGGACGAAAGACCACACACACGTTCGCAATTATGCCGCGTCTCTCCGATGAAGTTTTCATCGGAGTAGACCTCCAGGCCAAGTTACGTCTGGGCACGCCGGCCCCCCCTCGGCACGTGATTCAAGCACGAGGGCGATGTTGCACCACCGGGGGTTTGGCCGGGAAGACCCCCGCCGAAAGCGAGCGCCTACGAGAATTTTTGCACAACGAGCTCGGAAAATTCGGGGAGGTGAAAGGGCCTACGGACCGGGCACAGCATTCTATCCGATTGAGAGACGATACTCCCATCAAACAACGGTATCGGCCCCGCAATCCGGCGATGCAGGCGATAATCGAGAACGAGGTAGACGAGATGCTGGCCCGAGGGGTTATCGAACCCTCACATAGCCCGTGGAGTTCGCCCATCGTCGTCGTAAAAAAGAAAGACGGCCGGCAGCGGTTTTGCATCGATTTCCGACGGGTTAACGAGGTGACCCATAAGGACGCTTACCCGCTGCCGCAAATTACCGCGACTCTAGACAAGTTGAGGGGGCCCGGTATCTGTCCACCCTGGATTTAAAGGACGGTTATTGGCAGGTGCCGCTGATCCCGGGAAGTCGACCCGTTACCGCTTTCACCATACCGGGTAAAGGGCTCTACCAGTTCACGGTGATGCCATTCGGACTACACTCCGCGCCCGCCACTTTTCAACGACTGTTAGACTCGGTTCTCGGGCCCGAGTTAGAACCGCACGTTTTCGTCTACTTGGACGACATCATCGTAATTAGCCGAACATTTGAAAAACATCTCGAGCTGCTCAGGGAGACTTTCCGCCGTCTACGTGACGCGCGCCTCCGCCTGAACCCGGAGAAGTGTCGGTTTTGTGTAGACCGCCTTATATACCTCGGGCACGTCATCGACCGCGAGGGAATTCGCACCGATCCTGAGAAAATTCGCGCCGTGGCCGGTTGGCCAGAACCGCAGACCGTGAAACAGATCCGTCAGTTCGTGGGGATGGCGTCGTGGTACAGACGGTTTATCCCGAATTTTTCTACGATCGCCGCGCCGCTCACCCAGTTAACTAAGAAGCACGCCCGTTGGAGGTGGGCCTGGAGGAATCCATCGCGTTCGATCGGTTAAAACAAGCGCTGATTTCCGCACCGGTTCTGACCTGCCCCGATTTCAACCGCCGTTTCTCTCTGCAGACCGACGCTAGCACGACCGGGCTCGGAGCCGTCTTAACGCAACAGTTTGAAGAAGGCGAGCGCGTGATCGCCTACGCGAGTCGCACTTTGAATTCAGCCGAACGGAATTACAGTGCGACGGAGCTCGAATGCCTAGCCATCGTCTGGGGCATCCGCCGCATGAAGAGTTACCTCGAGGGTTACTCGTTTACCGTCGTAACCGACCATCAGGCCCTACGATGGCTTCAAAAGATGGAGGCGCCAACCGGACGCCTCGGACGCTGGGTGTTCGAGCTCCAGCAGTACGATTTCGACGTACGATACCGTCGCGGGGTATTAAACCGGGTCGCAGACGCACTGTCGCGTCACCCGGCTACCTGCGCTGCCAGACGCCAGGAATGCTCCTGGTACCGCCGCACGCGGGAAGGGGTCCAGAATGACCCCGCCGCGTATCCCGATTACCGCATCCAGGATGGACAGCTGCACCGCCTCATATACCATAGCCTGGACTTCAAGGACAGCCACCCGGACGAGCAGTGGAAACGCTGCATACCCAAGGAGGACCGGAGGAAGATATTGCAGGAATACCACGACGCCCCCACCGCCGGGCACCTGGGCATCGCGAAAACCATCGCCCGGATCGCCAAGAGGTACTACTGGCCGGGGATGTTGCGCGAAATTGCCGGTTACGTACGAGCCTGTCAGAACTGCCAGGCCCACAAGGTCGCTCAGCAACGACCGGCCGGGGCACTGCACTCTACGTACGTCGGCCGACCCTGGGAACAAGTGACGCTGGACCTCGTCGGCCCACTGCCACGTTCGCACCAGGGACATACGTGGCTGTTCGTCCTCCAAGACCGGTTCACAAAATAGGTAGAGCTTGTGCCGTTGCGCCGAGCTACCGCCGCCGCCGTCACCAAGGCACTGACCGAGCGCATTCTCCTGCGCCACGGCCGACCCGAGTCCGTGCTATCGGACAACGGGACACAATTAAGATCCACCCAGCTGGAGGAGCGTCTGCGAACGTGGAATGTCCGGCATATCACGATACCCGCTTATTCGCCGCATTGCAATCCGGTCGAGAGAACGAACCGCACCGTCAAAACAATGATCACCCAGTACATCGAAAAAGATCATCGAGCCTGGGACGAGCACATACCGGCCTTGCAATTCGCCTATAATACGGCACTCCACGACGCGACCGGATACACGCCGGCTTTCCTCAATTACGGGCGCGAAATACAGGCCCCGGAAGACACCGACCCGCAGGACAGCAGCACCGGACGCGCCTGACGTCATCCGAAACAAGCTCACCGAGGCGTACGAAGTGGTGAAGCTTCATATGGCGCAAGCTTTCCAGCGCCAGAAACGCCATTACGATCTCCGGCGTCGGCCTTGGAAACCGAACGTCGGGGAGTGGGTGTGGAAGCGCGACCACCCTCTTTCTAAGAAAAGCGAAGCGTACAACGCCAAATTGGCGCCCAAGTTCAGCGGGCCATACGAGATCCAAAAAATCGTCTCACCCGTTATAGTAGATCTCAAGAGCAAGAGGGGAAAACGGATAAGGCATGTACATATCCAGGATTTAAAAGCGGCTCACCAAAACAACAACAATGTCAACCTTATTCCCCCCAGCGAGGACATCGATCACGAGCCTGATACCTCGTTTTTCGATAACGCTCACAACTGAGCCAGACTTCGTAGAAGATGGAGCAGAACCGAGAAATCCTGGACGAGATAACCGCTCTACTGCAGGAGTACGAGGCGAGCAATCTTGCGACGCGGACCGAGGAACCCGCGCCGCCCCGCATTGCCGCACCACCACCGCCGCGGCCACCTCGAGTCGGCACCACCATCCAGCGGTCCGACCGAGTCAACCGGCAGAAGCAGGAGGCTCTCCTGACACCGCCACCGCCACCACCGCAGCGAAGGGCCCAGCGGCCATACGAAAGGCCACCCGGCCAGTCAACCGAGGGGACGCGCCAGCCGGGCCGCCGACCATCCTACGACCAATGGGTCCGCTGCCGCCACCACCGATCCTCGTGGAAGTCGAGCCAGGGATCACCGTGGAGGTCCCTCATTTCGCAGTTTATGTATCGCACCGATACAAGGCGCGAACGCCTGCCGGACGGTGGATTATCAGATTCACCCGCGATGGCAGGGTGCGCTATTGTCGCCGCATTCCACCACGCGCGGCCTAATAAACAATGGATGAGAACCGTTTGTTTTGTAAACAGAGCCGACGACCAGGCATCCACCCGCCCAACCGACCGACCGACCGAAGCGGATGCCCGATTCGGGCATATTTTAACATGGGGGGTGATGTAACGGTGCACTCCGATTGCACCGTTCCGAATTCCCGGCAACAACATCGCCGGAAGCTGCCGCCCGGTAGAACACCCGCCGGGCAGAGGCAGGGGTGCGGTGCGCCCACATTTTTAATACTTATTAAAAACCGGGGCCGTTGTAAATCCAAAACGGCCGAGAATTGCCGAGCGAAGCCGACGCGGCCCGACCGACCGACCGGCGAAAACCCGCGCTCGGCGCAAAATCCGAATCCCTCCGAACGGGCCCGACCGTACCGTACCGCAATTAACCCGTTCGGAAGGGGTAAACCGCCGCGCGCCGACGCGGGTAATTAGCCGGTATAAAAAGGCCGTGTTTCGGCTAATAGACACATTCTCCTGTTCCGCTCTAAGCTGTACGCTCAAGAGAATTTACCAGATACCTGAAAACCGGCACTACCGCCCCGATCAATTAGGTTGAGCGTGCTCAGCCTAAGCCGAGAGTTCTCGTTATCGCGCGGGGTACTGCCTTCATCCGCTCCTCCACATCCCGGCTGGCAAAAACCCACGGAAGGTAGAGTTCAGAGCCGCCCCGATCGAGAGTTCTCGAGGCCAGCTGTTCTCACACGCGATTCCAACTTATTCGCGCGATATTTTAATTCGCGGAGACCGCATATTATTTCGCGGAAAGAACTTGTTGTTTCTCGGAATCCACCGGCTTTTTCTTCGAACACGGGATTCCCGGAACGACGGGATTCCCCGTGCAAGAAACGCGACAAAAACACCGTCACAACAACGCGAGGTTTCGACCGATACCGAGCGCATATCCGCACGCGTCAAAAACAACGTTTTTATACACGCGTATATACCAGCGAATTATCGACAACGCGCCACGATTATATCGGCGCATTCTGACTTGCATTCTGCACGCGTAATCAAACAATTTATACACTCGAACAACACGCAGTTATAATCGCAGCGAGATACACACACGACTTGTATACACGCCTTAATTCGAATAAATACTTTCTTTCTTTTACAATCACACTTCGCTCACCATTCATTACCCCGAATCCGACGAGTTTATCGCAATCGAATCTCCCGGAAAACGGAACGTTACAGTCTGAATGCACATCANCAAAGAGATTGAAATATTAGATTCTGAATCTGTGGATATTTTTTATCCTTCTTTAATTGATACATATTATACAAGCAGACCTAAAGATTAGAATCTACTAATTTATATGATTATGCAAAATGGTATGATATTGTGAAAACTAAACCAACTCTAAGACATTAGAGTTATTACGTGCTTGATGAATCTTTATATTTAAAAAACGTAAACGTGGATATCTTATCAATCATTACAAATGCAAAGTGCACACTCAGCCAGAGCGTTACTATTTCTCATTATTGTTATTATTTCCTTGGAAGAGATATTACTGAATTAAAAAATGAATGTGATAGTTATGCAGAAGCATTTTCTTTAATACAATTTAAATTGAAAGATGCTCTTCAGTATCACGAAAGAATAACTGACATTCAGCAAGGTATGGATAATATTCAAGAATTAATTGAGAAAAAAATAAAAATCAGAAATTACAAAATGAAGATAAAAACGACTGCCTTGATAATGGTGCATTAGAATGTGTTCCTATCGAAGTTGAAGGAGCTATGAAAGACTTTAAAGATATTGGCAATAAAGTTGATGAAGTTAACGTCGATGAAATGGTGACGCAATTAAATACTGATCAAAAACGAATCTTTGATAGAATTACTGCTGGCATATCTGATGAAAATAATGAAATTCTTAGACTTTATGTAAGCGGTGAGGGTGGTACTGGAAAGAGTTTTTTGATAAAAACTATTAGATTCTGGATCAAAAAGTATATAGGAAAAGATACAGCAGTAACTGCACCAACTGGTATAGCAGCTTTTAATATTGATGGACTTACTATTCACAGATTATTTCAGTTACCAGTAGAACATGGCCATACTGCCAAATATAAACAACTTTCTGATATAGTGCTTAAAATTATACGAGACGAACTTAAGAATGTTGTTTTAATAATTATCGATGAAGTTTCAATGATTTCAAATATCACTTTAATGTATATACATCTTCGATTAACAGAAATATTTAATCGATTGTAATAATGGATGGTTCGGCAAGAAACATATACTTCTTTCTGGAGATTTATTACAACTTCCACCTATGCATGAGGATCCGCCTTTTATTGAATTATCTAAACTAAAAATTGAAAAGTATATTGGTGCAATGGGATCTATAAATTTATGGACTTTATTTAGCTATGATGAATTACAAATTAACGTGCGACAACAAGGTGATAATTCTTATCGAGATATATTAACGAGAATTCGTGTTGGAACAGTAACAGGTACAGATGTAACTATTTTAGAAAATAGGAAAATAAATTTTAAAGAAACTAATTGTGATGACCGATTACAAGAATTATGTGATTATTTGCAAAGCTTACCAATAGATACAGTTTGTTTAATGCCAATTATATGATGTTTTACATACTGCAATGTTAAATCGTATTTCTTCGAATGAAATAAAACTTGAAATAGAACTGTTGCTCAAGATCTAGCAGAATGTGCATCATATTTAAAGAAAAAAGTTATGAAGATATTAAGTAAAGATGATGATGATAGTTCTCGAACAGCTGGATTAGCAAGAATTATAACTATAAAATTAGGTGCACGTATAATGGTTAGAAGAAATCGATGTTAATTTAAGTCTTGTAAATGATACAATTGGTACAATTACATCAATTATGCGTAGTGCAATAGACAATGAAGTAGAAAAAATAAAAAATAGTGTCATCAGAATAGAACATATAGAACGCATAAGCGTTAAGTTTGAAGTAATGAATAGAGTGTTTGTTATAAGAAAACAATTTCCTATATGTTTAAGTTATGGTATGACTATTCATAAAAGTCAAGGCCTGAGTTTAAAACATGCTGTTGTAGAGGCTGGAAATTCTGTATTTAGTTGTGGACAAATATATTACAAAGGTAAAAAAAATACGCCAAGTACATAAAAAATATTCCACCTTGTATGCAACAAAACGTTTAATTAAAAAAATACCCTTATAATAAATAATTTATAAAAATTTTCCCTCAAAAAATATATATTATTTTCCTAAAAAAAATCAAAATTAAATATGAAATCAATGATTAATTAGCCATGTACATTGAAGCAATTGATAGGGATTTCTAATTTGAAATATTTGTCACAAATTCAATCTTGCATTTATATATTAGATTCTCGACAAAATAAAAATAAAATTCAAAATAAGTTCCAAGTAAATTTAGAACTAAAAAAATTAAGACCAAAACAACTTACAAAAACTTGGCGTGCTCGGGTCACATTATAATACATATAATTTTACAAAGTTTGCGAATTATATACCTGTAATTAATTTCAATTATAGAAATATGTGAATTATAATACGATCCGGAGTATGCCAAGTTTTTGTAAGTTATTTTGGTCTTAATTTTTTTAGTTCCAAATTTACTTGTAACTTATTTTGAAATTCATTTTTATTTTGTCGAGAATCTAATATATAAATGCAAGATTGAATTTGTGACAAATATTTCAAATTAAAAATCCTTATCAATTGCTTCAATGTACTTGGCTAATTAATCATTGATTTCATATTTAGTTTTGATTTTTTTTTTAGGAAAATTATATATATTTTTTGAGGGAAAATTTTTATAAATTATTTATTATAAGGGTATTTTTTTATTAAATGTTTTGTTGCATACAAGGTGGAATATTTTTTATGTACTTGGCATATTTTTTTTACCTTTTTAAGGTTTTTTTGGAAAAATTTCACATCTTTTTGTAAAATTTATTTATATTTTCTGCAAAAAATATATATGCATTTTTAGCACTTCTGGGCCAACTACACTTTTGTACCACTAAATCATTTATTAATTGCCATCCGGTATGTTACTACATATTTTACGTCAAAATTATTGATTTAATTAAGATTTATCAATACATATTTACTCTTATAGATTTCATTATTATTGCATTATTATTTATTATACAGTAAAATTTTATTTTACGTATGAAGAATCAAAGAAAATTTTAGAAATTCAGATTTAATTAAAATAAACCATTTCTATCTTAAACAAAATGAAATTTAAAGTGAAATTTAGCCATTACTAGGTTTAAATAGAAAAAAAAGAAGTTAAAAATTCGGAAACTTAAACAGATATATGTATATATATATAAAATATGTAATGAGTAAATAATAAAATATAATCGTCATAAAAGTTTAATACACGTTTGTTGCGTATCGTAATATATATTATTTTATAAGGCAGCATCAACATATATAGTACATCCTCCCAAAACTTCAAATATATTTCC